TGCTGTTAATTTATAGATATTCAGGGATTGAAAAACTTCCGCATAAGACGAACTGAGAAAGTCAGGTCTGCTTTGTTTATGTGACAGAACCTGGAAGAGGGTCAGATAATTGCACCATGCATGATCTTTACATGAAGATTCATTCTTGCCACGAAAGTCGGATAGGGATGGGGAGGAAGGAGAAGGCGAGGAAAATTCTGCCCGGCTTCAGTGTTGACAACATAAATCACCAAGGCTGGCCGTCAGTCAGCAATACGGGACGTTTTTATCGCCCAGGCATTAACGCTTTTCATCCGTCCACTCCAATCTATAGACTAATAGGAAGCTGACAGAAACCATGCATCACAAGGCAAAAATCTCCCAAATGAGATGGTACTGACAGAAATAAAAGAGATTGGTCTGATCGTTTACTTCATATCTGCCACTACCAGCCTGCTACATGAGCCCGGTATCAGGCAGCGAAGACCCGAATGTTCAACCATCGCGGACGATGATGCCTACCGGTGTGCACCACAGCAGGGTGGACGCAAGGACGCTGTCTTGCGCGTGAATTAGTTTGTAGTGATAGTAGACTTCCGCTGCATCTACTGCACTTTGTCCTCTTTCACCCGCTTAAGGCCGGTGCTAAAGCAGACCGAAGACGACTGGGGTGAGATCGGGGACAGTGACTGACAAGGCTAAACAGTCCGTTTATGCCTGTCACACACCTCTGGTTAGCCTAAAATGGACCAGGACTTCACACAAGTAACAAAAAGGGCTGAGGGAATTCGAATTGCAGTTTAGTGGGGATGCCATAGAGGTCACATTAGGAAGGAGCCATTGCAACCTGAATCTCCGTCCCGAGAGGACTGAGTTATTCCGTCAGCTGGCGGCCTTCCAAGCTGCAGCTTTTAGTGAACCGTGATAGTTTAAAAGCGCGTCAGATTGTTTATAATGAAGAGTGGAGAAGAGTTGACCTTACTCCGTTTTCCCTCTGCCAGGCAACAGTCTGCTTTCCGGACCAGTCAGCCATCTAATGCGGGGATTGGGCGTAGATGTCTGACGCGGCGTGAGCTCGCGCCTACGCTTTCCACCGTACTACCTGTCTGGCATCTGTTATAGGTGCACAGCCCACTAACCTGTGCCATATCCTAATTTGGCCCCGGGTCGGTGCAGCGTAAGTCCTGCGTGACCCGTTGTAAGGGACAAGGAGAAGGCCCAAGGTCCGAACTCGACCTTAGTTGGTTATCAAACCACACACCGAAGTACCAGGTCAAAACATAATGTCAAAGTTCCGTTCTGAAGTCAAAGTAAGTTAGTGAACACCCATTTTATATGACTACATGCTTCTTTTAACCTCTGAGCCCAAGATTCCGGCAATAAAGGTTGGTGAGCGTGAATGCTCATCGGAAAGGCAACTGCATACTTGCGATTCAAGTCGAATTTCCATTCCATAACAAATTAGTCTGTAGGTACTTTTGATGTGAGGCACAGGAGCATAGGTGTTCTAGTGACTGAGCTAAAAAGGAGGAAGTTGTTAATAGGTTTGATGGTGTTAGCGACAAAGACAAGGGATACTGAAATGGCCAGTTCTGGCTTATTAGCCGTCGTCAGCCAGTCATTCCCAACCCAGGAGTGTGGGACACCCGAGGCTCTAACTCGCGACCTGTTAGTTAGAAGTCCAACGTCTAACTACTGGGCCACGGGCCCGTTGTCCTGTCGGTCGCGATCGGGAATATACAATGGTAGAGGGGCGCTTACCGATCGCTCTTACGGAACTCACTCGTTCCGTCGTGCCTTACGGACTCTCTCTCTCTCTCTCTCTCTCTCTCTTGAGTCCAACCAGCAGCCGCACAGCGGCGCATGATATAGGCAGAATGGTGTTACCGACAAAGCCATTTCTGGCCCAGTGGTTAGAGGCGTGGACTTCTAACTAACAGGTCGCGAGTTAGAGCCTCGGGTGTCCCATACTCCGGGGTTGGGTATGACTGTCTGACGACGGCTAATAAGTCAGAACTGGCCATTTCAGTGTCCCTTGTCTTTGTCGCTAACAACATTCTGCTTATATCATGCGCCGCTGTGCGGCTGCTGATCGGACTCGAGAGGAAGAGCCCGTAAGGCACAACGGAACGAGTGAGTTTCGTAAGAACGATCGGTGAGCGTCCCTCTACCATTGTTCATAGGTTATTGAGGTATAAAACCTATAATCTTCCACTGGCGCCGTCCATGTCCGTCGAGCATTTTGGCCTGTTGCTATTAGTGATAGTGTTAAACGGAAGGGGGAGGCAGTTTGCCGAAATTAAGATGAGCAGTTAGGCGAGATGAAGGACTGAATTTGTATTAATATTCGGCCGACATACAGCGCTGAAATTAATAGAAAGTGCTACCAGTAAATTCAGTAACAAACTCTGGACTGAAATGAAATGAAATGAAGAAAAGACGAACACATAGGGCTGCCGTGTGACCGTAGTCCTACCAGTCGAGGCGGGTCTCGGTTCCGCTGAGCGCAAACAGTCGGCTATTCACGAAGACCCGATGTCCCCGTTTGTTTATACCACGCGCCAGCAGCTGACGCCGGTGATGGTGTATTGTTTTCGTCACTTCGATGCAGGCACTGGAATGAGCGAAAAGGTGCACCATGTCCGACCCC